TGTGTCCAAAGGACTCGCCCGGCGCCTCTCGCACCCCCACTTCCCTCCAGGTGCATGAGGCCAGAGCGCCGCCTGTGCACCGTAGGCCTCCTTCGCCCGCCTCGAAACGCAAAGCCACGGATCAGGGAAGAGGGGTGAGGGGGTGAGGGGGAAAGAGGTGAGGGGAAGGGTGAAGGGGGAGGGAGGAAGGAGCAAAAGGTAGGCTAAGCCACTTCCCACGAGGCTGCACAAACACTTGTACCTCCCAACACCAACATCATCATCTCCCCTCAACTTCGTACCCTCTCCCCTACCACACATACCGCTATGCCCCTCCTCTCCCTTCTCTCCCCTCTCCCCCCTCTCCATAGAGCGCCCCGTAAGGGTTTCAGGCTCGTAATTACCTTGTCTAGAGCGGGTCTAGGATCACCGGCTCTCCTCTATCACTATTTACAAACTGCCGCGTCCAACGCCGCTATCTTATCGCTCTACCTGACTTCCTTCGGGACTTTCCCCTCGGTCGTTCCCTCCTTCCTTCCCTGACTCACCCTCTTTCTCTAACTTCCTTCTTGCCCCCTTCCTTTGTCTTTCCTTTTTGTTCCAAATCTTCAAAAGAAATCCCCTCTTTTCCCCGCATCTTCCAAAAGGGAAAGAGACACAGAGAGAGAGAGAAAATGAAACACTCCCTGACTCTCCCCTTTCCCTCTTTTCCTCTCGATCTTTCATGATCTTTTCTTCACATCTTTCGAGCACAAAAAAAATACTCTCTCCTGGTCCTCCTTTCTCGAAACTACCTCTCTTCTTTCGATCTTTCTCCTTCCTTATCTTCTCCACATCTTCCGAACCAAAAAAAAAAAAAGATCACTTCCGAAGACACAACACAAAAAGCGTCACCCGGCTACGCGTCTCGGGCCCGTCACTTGCGTCACTCGCTCTCCTCTCCCACTGTTCCGCATCCTGTTTACTGCCCGAGCTCGGAGAACGGCGAGCTTGCACGCACAACGACCGCTTCTGCCGATCCTTCAACGACGAGTTAAAAGTCACAAAGAGGGTCTCACGGAACGACCCGAACGGCGTGGTCCGCGCAGGATACGTACGCACACGAACGACCACCACGAGCGCTGGTCCAGTTCACGGAACCCCGATCGTGAGACGGGAATGGTTACGAGCAGGGAGTGACCCCTCGCCCAGGCCGCGACACACACTACTAATACTACACACACTGTCTTGGTGTGGGTGGCTGGGTGTGGGGTGGCGATGGGGGAGGGTGGGAGGCGGCGGGGGAGGGGCTCGCGAGGGCCGAGCCAAGGAAGCTGTTCCCCACATGTTAAGCCCCTCTCTCCCTTTCCCGTCACCTACCTACCCCCCCCTGCCCCTGGCCCTCTACAGTGCCCACCCAAAGCCCAACATACCCTCGGCGAGGTCACTGTCTCCGCCCGCGCGACACACCGCGCCGAGTGCATAGCGAGCCCCGCTGGCAGCCGCCTCGCCTCGCACTCGAAGGGCCTCCTGGCCGCCGCGATCGCCGCGCCGCGAGAGTGCGTGCGTCTGTCTGGCCCGTCCCGAGGCACTAACAAGACCACGTTGTTGAGTGGCACGGATCGCTGCTGACTCGCGGGCGGGTGGGCGTGCGGGCAGGCGAGCGGGGGCGCGCGCACGTCTCTCTCTGTACCACACTACACACTATCACTACCGCCCGCGCCACGGGAACTGCCGCCTGCGGTCTCCGTGTCTACCGCTGCCGCTGCTGCTACTCCCCGCTGGCTCCACTGGAGGTCTCCCCGGCCCTCCATCCTTCACGCTGGCTCCTCCCCCTCCCCCCCCTTCGCCTCCCCTCGCGCCGCACAACTTTCCCTATCGCTTCCCGCCATCTCCCACGCCATTTCGCCCTTTTCACTGACGCAACTGACGAGCGTGACCGCAACAATTCGCCTCCGCGGAAGAATTCGCCCGCTCATCGGCGCATTCACACGCAAACACAACGGCGAAATAAGCGAACGCGCAACCTCCGAAAGCAGACGAAGAAGCGAAACATTTTGGCGCGGAGGACGAACGCACGCGACACGCTCCCCTCGGCTGACTCATTCCCCTTCCTCACTCTCCCTCTCTCCCTCCCCCTCCCTCTCTCTCTCTCTCTCTCTCTCTCTCTCTCTCTCTCTCTCTCTCTCTCTCTTCTCTCTCTCTCTCTCTCTCTCTCTCTCTCTCTCTCTCTCTCTCTCTCCCCTTATCCCTTCATTATCTTTCTGTCCCTTCCATCTCCCATTCGAAGTCATGTACGACCCCTCGCCGCCTCCCTTCATTCAAGCCATTTCCTTTCTCTTCCTTCATCGCCTTTTCCCCTTTCCTTCCTACGCCTCCTCCCTCCCGCTCTCCCTCTTTCCAGTAACAACCCCATCAACCACAACCTCACTCCTCCCTTCCCCTTCCCCTTCTCCTCCTCACTCGCCTTCAGGTTATATCTCTTACCTCGTCTGTTCTCCAACTCTCCCCTCTCTCCTCCCCCCCCCTCTCCCTCACTATCCCCACCATCAAACCGCTTAATCAACGCGACGATAAAAGGGGAAGAGAGGGAAGGAGAGTTAGTGAAAGGAAGCGGAAGAAAGTGAGAAAAATAGAGAATGGGGTAGGAGTGATGGAGGGAGAAGGAAAGGGGGGAGGGGAGAGGGAAGGAGGAAGGAGGAAGGGGAGAGAGAGAAGAGAAGAGAAGAGAAGAGAAGAGAAGAAGAAGAGAAGAGAGAGAAGAGAAGAGAGAGAAGAGAAGAGAAGAGAAGAGAAGAGAGAAGAGAAGAGAAGAGAAGAGAAGAGAAGAGAAGAGAAGAGAGAGAAGAGTAGAGAGAGAGAGCAGAGAGAGAGAAGAGAAGAGAAGAGAAGAGAAGAGAGAGGAGAGAAGAGGAGAGAGAGGAGAGAGAAAAAAAAAGAGAAGAGAAAGAAGAGAGAAAAAGAAAGAGAAAGAGAAAGAGAAAAAGAAAGAGAAAAAAGAATGAAAGAGAGAAAATAAGAAAAAGAAAAAGAAAGAGAATAAAGAAAAAAACACCAAAATAACGAAAAAAAAAGGATAGGAAGAGATAAAGAGCCCAAAATCGCGTGCCTCCCCCCATAAACTACAAATGACTCGCATCTGCCACAACGTCGATAACTGCTTAGGCCCACGTCGAAAGGGGGGGGGGGGGTTGCGTCTCGGGGGGCTGGGAGAACATGCGTAATCAAATAAAGATCAGATGTCAGAGAGAGAAGAGAGAGAGAGAGAGAGAGAGAGAGAGAGAGAGAGAAGAGAGAGAGAGAGAGGAGAGAAGAGAGAGAGAGAGAGAGAGAGAGAGAAGAGAGAAAATGCAAGGAGGCAGGAGCGAAAGGGAGGTGTCAAAACAGAAAGAAAACGACGGAACAGGCGTACAAAGAAGAAATGGGAGAAGCGACCGAAATCCGAAGACGACGACGACGACGAAGACCCCAGCAGATGACCATCGGGCACGGCGGGTCGTATCCGCACCCGACCCGCAACGGATATCAGACCCAGCTCACTCTCCGACGCTGCCGAGGCCTATCTCCTCTCCCATTCCCACGCTAATATCTCACATGGAAGGGGGGGGGGAAGGGGGGGCACTCTTCGCCCATCACTGACCATGCCTGACCCCTCTCTGCCATAGACCCGTCGATCGATCGCCCTTGCCTGCCTGCCTGCCTGCCTGTCCGTCCGTCCGTCTGTCTGCCCCGTTATCAACATATGACCATATTCATTAGTCCCGTCTGTTGGTTTATGAATAATTTTTCCCTCCCGTGTAAACTGACATGTGACCGCTTTCTCTCCCCCCGTCTGGTGGACTGACGACTGACTGACTAACTGACTGACTGACTGACTGACCGACCGACTGTTATCTTTTTTTCACCTCCATCTCTCTTTGGCAATGTTTATGCCTTTTTTTCTATTCGTTTTCTGTTCCTATTCCTGTTCCTGTTTCTCCTGTTTCTTTGGCACTATCGTCCAGATCCTGTCTCTTCTTCTTGCACTCTATTCCCCTCCTCTTATGCCTGTCTGTCTGTCTGTCTGTCCCTCGCTTTGTCTCCTTCTCCCAAACATCCTTACAAGCCAGCACAACACGTGATCATTGTTTACATAAACCCCGATAAGACCGAACCAAGATTTTTCTTCTCCTTTCTCCCCGTCTCTCCTTCCCACGACCTCCCTCTGTCTCGGTTTCCGTCTCTATCTGGATGTCTCTCTCTCTCACCCCTCCCCCCATCCTTTTGGCTGTGTGTGTCTTTTGTGTGTATGTGTGTCTGTTTGTGTGTCTGTTGGGTATGTTTGTGTGTCTGGGGTCTCCCCCCCCTCCCCCTCCCCTCCCTCCCTCCCTCTCCCTCTCCCTCCTCCCTCCTCCCTCCCTCCCTCCCTACCTCGCCCCCCCCCTCCCTCCCTCCTCCCCCCTTCCCTCTTCCCTCCCTCTCTCCCTCTCCCTCCCTCCTTCCCTCTCTCTCCCTCCCCTCCCTCCCTCCCTCCTTCCCTCTCCCTCTCCTCCCTCCCTCCCTCCCTCCCACGACCTCTCCCCGCGCCGCAGCCACACGTGGGAGACGAGAATCCCCCGGAGTTGGTCGCCTCTCCTCCCCTGCATCCGCTTCGTCTATTAATACGCGAGTCCTACGCATGTTATTAATATCGCCAAGAACACAATGCGGGGAGCAATATAGGATGGGGTGGGTAGGATGGGGTGGGACAGGATGGGGTGGGACAGGATGGGTGGGATGGGGTGGGAAAGGACATAGGATAGGGTGGGGCAGGATGGGGTGGGAACAGGATGGGGTGGGGTAGGATGGGTGGGTAGGATAGGGGGGGTGACAGGATGGGGTGGGATAGGATGGTGTGGGACAGGATGGGGTAGGATAGGGATGGGGTGGGGTAGGATGGGGTGGGACAGGATGGGGTGGGACAAGATGGGGTGGATAGGATGGCATGGGATGGGGAAGGGTCAGGCATGATAGGATAAGACTGGATAAGGTTGAACGGAACGGCGTAGGATGCAAGTCTGGATAGGATGAGACGGTGAAAAGGGGGCTAACTCAGGATAAGGCAGGACAGGAAGGAATGGGATAATACAAGAGGAGATAGGATACGACACGACGGAAATAGACAAGGATGAGGATCGAGGAGGATTTCAAAGAGAGCAAATCAAATAAATAAATAAATAAATAAATAAATATGAGTAAAAAAAAAATGAGGAACAGAAAAGGATCGAGGAGGAATCTTTTTTTTTTATCCTACGAGAAATTCACGCGTCATCCAGAGTCATCCCCGCGCAGCCCTGCCCCGTCGGCTCGCCTCGTGTTCGGCTCTTTGGGCTCGGGGATCGGGGGCGCCGCTCTGAATGCCTCGTCCGTCTATTATGCCCGTCGGGAGGGCCGCTTGCTTGCTCCTCTTTCTTCTCTTTCTCTTCGTTTATGTGTCTCTTGGTCTTCTCTCATCGTTCTATGCTTCCTACTCTGTTTCTATATATTTCATTCTATTCTCTCTGTTCTCTCCGTTCTTTCGCTCTCACTCACTCTCTCCCACTCTCCCTCCACCTCCACCTTCTCCACCTCCTCCCTGTCCTCACACACGCCCGCGTGTGGTCGCGTGCGTGTTGAGGTGAACCGCGACCGCCCAAAGGAGCGGTTCAGGGCGTCCGTGATCCCTGGGACATCCCTCGGCTTGGCCCAGCCGCCTGGAGCCTATGGGGCGGGGGTGCCTCGTCTTGTGTGGGAAAGGAGGAGAGGAAGGGAGGAAGGAAGAAGGAGAGAAGGAGAGAAAGAAGAGGAGAAGGAAGGGAAGGAGAGAAAGAAGAGGAGAAGGAAGGGAAGGGGAGAAAGAAGGGAAGGAGAGAAGGAAGACGAGAAGGAAGGGAAGGAGAGAAGGAAGGGGAGAAAGAAGGGAAGGAGAGAAGGAAGACGAGAAGAAGGGAAGGGAAGGAAGGTAGGAGGAGAAGAGGGAAGGAAAAAGAGAAAGATGGAGAGAAGGAAGAGAAGGAAGGATAGGGAAGGGATAAAGAGGGAATGGGAAGGGAATGAAATGGAGGGTGAAGGGAAGGAAGGAAAGACGGAAAGGACTGGAAAGGAATAAAGGAAGGAGGTGAGGAGGGGAGACGAAGGAAAGATGGGAATGTCGAAAAGAAGGAACGAAGGAGGGGGATGGAAAGAAGAGAGGAGGGAAAGCCTTGGCCCTGACACGCACAGGAGGCTCTAAAAGACGGAAGAAAAAGAAAAAAAAGGAATCTACACTCCTCATCACCGCGCAGTGTGTCATAGTCAAAGGCTGAAGGGATTATGCCATATAAAGGGGTGTCATGCCATTCATAAGACATGCTACTGCAGACTCGTGTACATGTTTGTTCAGAGAGAAGAGAGAAAATCAAATAAATATATAAATAAAACATGAGTAAATAAAGAGAGACATTCAGATACATAGACAGAGATAGAGTGTATCCACTTTTCCCGCATTTAATAACCAGTACCGAACACGACCACCAAATCGCGCCCGAAATACATAGCGCATTGGTTTGTTTACATCCAAAGCAAGGCACGTGCAGTTAGACTTGGGACTCCGCACGCACGCCCGCCCGCCCGCCCCCCCCCCCCTCCCTCCCTCCCGCCCTCCCTCCCTCCCCCCT